GCAGGGCGACACAGGTCTGATTGCAGGGACTCCGGGAGATACGATCCTCTCACTGGGAACTTTGCAGACGCTTCGGGAGGGTGGGAAAATTTCAGGCATTCTCAGTGCTGCCGGCCCCATGCGGGCTCACGTGTGGGGGCTCACGCGTGGGCACAGGAGCCCGGGAGGGGCCAGAAGCCCGTCCTGAGACTGCTGCCCATCCCCCACTCACACTCGGCTTTCAAGACTCAACCCAAACATCTCCCCAAAGCATTTACCTCTCTTATCACACAGTGTGTCTGGGAAAGGAAGGCAGATAAGGGAGTCTGGTTTCTTTCACAGCCGGCCGGCCTCGACCCAGAACTCCTGGCAGCCGGCCCTGAGGGCCTCCGCCAGCGGGGCCCGGGCCTCCAGCCCAGCCGAGGACATTTCCAAGGGCCACGCTCCAGGCCCGGCCTGGCCTCAGGCTGCCGCCATACCACAGGCCCCCACGGGCTCCCTCTGCCTGCGAGGCCACGGCTGCGGCTCTGTGGATGCTTGTGAACAGACCCTGCTGATGTCACCGTTATAAGGAGCCAGTCGGCTCAGAGTTGAAGGGCCCACCCAGCCTGGCCCGATCCCCCTTGGTTTAGATCCTGAGAAACTGAGGTCGACCTTTGAGGAGGTGCTCCCCAGGCCTCACAGCAAACATGACAAAAGCAGCTCCTGTCTGCTTCCGGGACTTGGGCCTCCTACAGGAAGTCCACCTTGGTTTCTCCCACTCCATGGCCCTGCCCTCTCCCTCCTCCTGGAGCTGCCCTGGCTACTCTTCTGTCTCCTTACCACTTAGCAAGGTCAAGGCTTGTCCACTCAGAAGTGGATTCCATGATCGACTCTTTCTGCACGGAGTTCAGGACCCATTTACACGCTAAGTATGATACACTTCCAACAGCCCCAAGTTTGAAACAGCAGAAACCAAAAGATTCTCTAAATGTCACCGCTTATTACAGAGGGGCGGTGTACCACCAGGCCCCGCTGGCCTCACCTCGGCTGGAACTGGCCCCTCCCCGCTGTGACACAGACCCGGGGCATGAAACACAGAACCAGCCACCCTGGGTCCCAGCCTGGAGCCCTGACTCCCAGGTCGTGACTGAGCACCCAGTTGTGGGCTGCTGGAGTGGGGACATACAGATGTCTCCACAGTCCCCTTTGCCACCAGAAACTGGCTGGAGGCCGCCCGTCAGCGCTCCTGAGAGGGGGCTGCAGGAGAAGTGGGGACAACGCTTCTGAAGCCAGCAGAGGGGGTGCTGCCTCGGCGCAGGGGGCTGCACGACCTCTGGCCCCCTGGAGACCTTGGCCATCCTCCACCCAAGTGCCCATCTATACCTTTCTGAAGCCCACACCCACTTCCCATTCGTGACTCCACCCCTGTCCCATAAAGAGCCGTGGCGTCCCTGACCCCTTCCTCCAAGTGCTGTCCCCTTGACTTCTAGGGGCGGGCTCTCTGGGACCCCCTAGCTGCCCAGCAGCTCCTCCCCGTCCTGCTGCACAATTACCTGAACACCTTACCCACTTCAGGGCTCCGCTGTAGGCTCTGCCCTGATGTCTCCCTGAAGTCCAGCCTTGACTCCTCCTGGCTCGCCAGATCAGGGACTACACCTGCTCTGGGACAGCTTGGCCTGGATGTCCCGCGGCCCCTCACACTGGACAGGACCCAGACAGATCCCGGCATCCTCCCCCACCCCGATCTGTGACCCAATAGCTCCCCAGGCACGGCTCCTGTCTGTGCCTCCCTGCCGACTCCCCCTTGAAGATCGTCTCCTCTCCTTGGACCATCCCACTCAACCCACCCCGTCTCCAGCCACCCTCCAACCCGTCATCCATCCTTGCCGGACCTTGCGGAACAAGGAGAACCTTGTCCCTCCCTGCCCAGTGCCCCTCACCCACCACCCCCGTGATACGCAAGATGACTAAGTCACCTGAGGTGAGAACGGCCAATTCCCACCGAGACAGCTGGATGACGGGAAAGCCTCCTGTCACACATGCATGAGCACGCACGTGCGTACCTGCGGTCACACACATATGACTGGGACGTTATGTCTCTGGACACTTGGGAAGCTGCTTCCGTGAGCAGACAAGTAGCAAACGTGTGTTAAAACCCAACTTCAGAAACAGCCGATGACACAGTTGATTAGGCACGTGTGGGCTCACCGCACCGTGGTGATTTTATACCATGGATGTGTAGTATGTTGTGCTCATGGCACAGAATTAAGTGTCTCCACATTTCCAGACCCTTCACACGGAGCACCGGACACCAGGGACAGAGCCCAGCTCCCTTAGCCAGCTCCCAGAGGGCCTTCACAATTCAGCCCTCCCCTCTCAGTCCCACCAGCCCCCCTCTCCACCCCCC